TAATTATATTATAATTATATTATATATATATATACATATATATATATATATATATATATATATATATTATTATATTATTATATTATTATATTAATATAAAAATGAGAAAGAAGAAAATAAAGATAAAGAATAACAAAATAAAATAAAAGAATAAAAAAAACAAAACAAAATAAAACAAAACAAAACAAAATACAACAAAACAAAATAAACTAAATAAAATAAAATAATGTAAAATAAAATAAAATAAAATAAAATAAAATGAAGTAAAATAAAATAAAATAAATAAAATAAATAAAATAAAATAAATAAATAAATAAATACCTGATGAAGAAAAGGAAGAAGTACAGAGTAAACGAAATCCTTAAAATATAAATAAAATAAAAAAACAAAAAAACAAAAAAACAAAAAAACAAAACAAAATAAACTAAATAAACTAAAACAAATAAACTAAATAAACTAAATAAAACAAATAAAATAAATAAAATAAATAAAATAAAATAAATACCTGATGAAGAAAAGGAAGAAGTACAGAGTAAACGAAATCCTTAAAATATAAATAAAACAAAAAAACAAAAAAACAAAAAAACAAAAAAACAAAACAAAATAAAACAAAACAAAACAAACTAAATAAACTAAATAAAACAAAACAAAATAAAATAAAATAAAATAAATAAAAATAAATAAATACCTGATGAAGAAAAGGAAGAAGTACAGAGTAAACGAAATCTTTCTCGGTAACAATTGTTTGCCGCCCCACGCACTGCAGCAGCAGATCGAGGGGTATTGTAGCTCTGCCGCTGCCTGCTGCTGCTGCTGCTGTTGCTGCTGCTGCTGCTGCTGCTGCTGCTGCTGATGCTGCTGCTGGTGAGTCTGCTGCTGCACCGGATGCTGCTGCAGCAGGAACTCCTCCTGCTCCAGCAGCAGCAGCATTAGGAGCGCCACCAGCAGCACCAGCACCAGCAGCAGCAGCAGCAGCAGCAGCAGCAGCAGCAGCGTTTGTATGTTGTTGTTTATTTGCTGCTAACAAAGACAAAGGAACTTGTT